AACAGTTGGAGCTGGGTACAAAACTGCTCCAACTTTCTTTTTCTGCAAATATAACAGATTGGTTGTAAAAAATATCTTTTGTTAAAACTATCGGTAATCTTGCGAAAATGATATCACATTTACAATACACAACAGATCTTAGAGGCGTATGGCAAAAAGTTACCTTTGTATCACTTTAACCTATCTTTTTCACTTGTTTCACAAGTTATTGATGATGGTTCTTAATCTTTTCTGTCTTCTGTTTCTTAAGTTCAAGAATCTTTCTTTCTAGTCATCTTGTCATTGTTCTTTCTACTTCCTATCGGCCTCCTACCTAAAAACATCTTTGGCATTCTTCCTTCGTCATTTTTTTGTTATATCCCAGCTACCTCATTCTATGTGCCTTGATATAGGCCGTAATTTTAAACTACTTATAGTGCTAAATGAAATCGTAGGCTTCCACGGCCAGAGTCAGAATTATAGTTTATTCTTCTTCCGGGTTTGGACCGTGTCATTTGTGAGTGACCTAAAAGTGGGTTCATCTCGACGTTTCGCTACAATTGTATGTAGCTTCTTCAGGAGAACAAAGAAAAAGAAGACAGGAAGATGGGTAGTTAGCAACGGTAACTCAGTTACTCAACGCAACCATAGGCGAATACTAACTACCAAGATGGGCATTTGGTCACAGTAACTCAACTACTCAACGCAGCCAGAGGTGAAAACCAAATGCCAGGACAGGGATTCACGTCCAACAGCTCAGAACACTCGAGAACGCGTCGAGAGGCGGGGAGTGAATCCGACGATTACTCCGCTACCGCTCTATTTATAGTCGTGGTGACCTGTCGTGTCGGGACGTATCGGCACACTCCGTGGCGCGAACGTCAAGAAGCGCGCGATGGCCAATCATGTGGCTGCATCGTGGTAGCGGGACCGGACGGCGGCTCTAGACTGAGATTCCAGATGGGAGACAAGTAGTATCCTTCCTCTCGATTGATATTATGTGGATTTTTTCGGATCTCTAGAGATTCGCGGATTTTCCTGGAATAAAAGAAGGGGCTCTTAGAAATAATATGGGTTTTTTCGAACAATATGGAATGACGGTTTCTTGGCAGTGTTCTGCAACTGCAGAATGGGAGAAAAAGACCTGATCGAATGCATCTTTGATGCTCTTGAATCTGAGTTTTGACGGAACGACCAGTTTCGCCAATATACACATGTCCACATGAACAAGGAATAGAATAGACACCACAGGAAGATAGGGGCGGTAATGGGTCCTTAGGAGAGGGTAGATATTGTGAGATTTTCTTGGGTGGTCGAAAAGTAGTCCTGATACCTTCTTTGCGAAGAATTTTGCCAATCCTATCAGTGACACTTTGAATATACGGAAGAAAAGCCACAGGAGTATTACCCGAAGATTCTGAATTTGTCGTCCTAGGGTGTAAAGGGGGATGTAGATGTCGGTGTGTAATATTTTGAATTGTGGACTTGGAGTAACCGTTGGCGACAAGGGTTTTTTGCAGATGGCCAAGTTCTTCTCTAAGGTTGTCAGGTTCAGAAATCGAAATGGCCCGATGGATGAGAGAGTTGATCACAGAATTCTTTGGGCAGGATGGTGGTGTGATGAAGCATGTAGGTAACGATTCGTGTGAGTCTTTTTTCTATAAACAGAGTGACCCAAACGGCCATTGGGCTTGGAGGTGACTAACACATCGAGAAAGGGAAGGGACCGATTATTTTCTACTTCCATTGTGAATTTTATACTCGGATGTTGTGAGTTAAGATGATCTAGATCTAGATGAATCCCTGTCCTGGCATTTGGTTTTCACCTCTGGCTGCGTTGAGTAGTTGAGTTACTGTGACCAAATGCCCATCTTGGTAGTTAGTATTCGCCTCTGGTTGCGTTGAGTAACTGTGTTACCGTTGCTAACTACCCATCTTCCTGTCTTCTTTTTCTTTTTCTTTGTTCTCCCGAAGAAGCTACATACAATTGTAGCGAAACGTCGAGATGAACCCACTTTTGGGTCACTCACAAATGACACGGTCCAAACCCGGAAGACGAATAAACTATAATACTTATAGTGCTCATTCACACTTGCTCCCTCAATATTTATCCAATATGCTTTTTAGTATTTTACGTTCAGTTACCAGCACTCTAGCCGCTCCTCCTCAGTTTTATTGAACACCATATTTGCATCCATATGTAGTAATTAGTCTTACTATTATTTAGTATATGCGCAGATTTTTTTTCCTGGATAGAAACTTAAACTTTGGTAGACTTCTTAGGATTCCATATTTCCTGTTAACTTCTGACAGTCTTGTTCTTATCTTATCGTGTTTTTCCTCACGGCCATTTTCTTATAAAATTACTCTTTTATCTTCAAATTTTCTCCTTCGTCTTCTTACTTCGTGCTTCTCTTACAATTTTTTTTAAATACATTTATTTTTTTATACAGTTATTTGTATTGTTGCCCTAACCAGCAGTGTTACATCATTCTGCGTTGTGTTGCTTGTTGAAAATTGTTTTTTCTTTCAAAATCACTATTTCTTTATTTTCGTTTCCAGAATTAAACTGAACAAAGTTTTTTTTACTATTAATTCTATCCTATACCAATTTTAAATAAATGAATATCGTGTATACAATACAACGGAGGGTAGCGTTTCTAGATACTTTTTGCAATTTATTCTCATCTATTTCGTATATATTTACGGATTAAATCGCATTTATCGTACTCTGTGCCACGGTGTCACTGACAAGATACAGTAAAAAGAATTGACTAAAACTAATTCATAAAGAAACTTAACTTTAAGAGTTTTGGTTTTTAAAAAATATCAACGTTTAATGGCACTATTAGAAGTCTGTAGGGTATGTGGAGTACCGGTAGTCTTCTCAGTTCTCATATTTGTATGGGTTATTTTTAGTACTTATGCCAAATCTTTGCTACAAAGAACTTTTCTCAGTTTCATAAAGTTGCACGTCTTTCTCAGTTTCAACTTAATTTCGACAGTGTCTTCCCCTACTCTTTCAACCTGTGGCCTTCTACCATCAGAGTTAGGTTAGAATTTATTCGTCAAAATCATCTTAAATCCAAACAAATTTAGTATGATTGAATAGGTATATTAATATAATTGTAGTTTCGCATTTAATTTAATAAATATTCTAACTTTCGTCTCTGGTTTATTGTCAAAAAAATTGACATTGACGTAAAAAGAATTAGAGAATTGAAAAACGTCAACTTTTTAATAAGTAACCAGAGACGGCACTGGACAGCACAATAGCCGGTAGTAAAACAATAATTCCCGGCGACATAAACGTCAGAGTAGGCAACATACCTGTGGCTGGAGTTACACAAAGATTTAACGAAGAAACGCTCAACGACAACGGAGAAAGGCTTCTAGAACTTTACGAGAAGACGTAACTCTATGATTGACTACATTATAACAAACAGACAAATACACCCCAAGAATGTAATAGATGTGCGCACTCTATGTTCCGCCAATGTAGGATCCGACCATGGTTTGATACTAGGAAAAATAAATATAGCAATCACCACACAAGGCAAGCGAAATACAAAAGTAGAAGAAAAGTTAAACATAGAAAACTTAGAAGAAGGAACACAAAACTTGTATAGAAACAGACTAATAGAAAAGCTAAATTGCCATGACCTAGAGACTAAAAAGAATATAGAAGAAACCTGGAAAATTATTAAAAAATGTATCCTACAAGCAGCAGAAGAAGCTTTAGGTAAAAGAAAAGTTAACAGAAATAAACGGGAATACAAAACTTCATGATACGACGAAAGGGTGGAAGCACTATCAAATGAAAATAAACAAGCTTTCCTAACATACAAAGGAGTGAAGACTCCGGAGGCACGAGAAGACTACATGAGAATCAGGAATAGAGTAAACCAAGAAATAGATAATATCAAAAAAGAACACTCTGAGAAATTTACCAAAGACATGGAATACGACTTCTATGGATCCCAGAAAAAGATGTGGAAAATGATAAGGAGACAAAAAACAGAAATGGATGAATTTGTACGCATAGATAACATTACGGAGGAACAATGAGCATTTCACGAAATTATATGGAGAAGGAGAGGAAGAGAACAGAGAAATAATCATTAACGAAGACCAACTTACTGGAGACACATTGAAAAACAGACAGAGGCATGTGTATATACAAAGAAGAAGAAGAAGAATAGAGGATTCCTCAACAACCAAAGAAATATTGAGAAAATCGAAGATGACAAGAACGAAAAAATATATAGGTTAAAATTGACACAGAGCGAAAAATTAGATTTAAGCAGAAAATATCAGAGTAGGATACAAGCAGCAGCGATTAAATACATCAGAAGAACGATAGAGGCAAAATCAGAGAATGATAGACAAACTAGACAAAGGAGAAAAGTTAGCAGCATGGTCCAATCATATAACACAGATGGGCAATAACAGGCTAGTGAAAAGAGTGTGGGAAGCTACACCAATAGGGAAAAACAGAAGGAGGATGCCAATAAAAGAGTAACTTACAAGAGTATTACAAAATATGTGCAAGAAGCAACAGAAATGGTGAAGAACTACTGGTGAAGAAAATACTGGAGAAAACTCATCAAAAGCTAGATGCACCTCACTCGACACGTAATGGTAGAAGAGGAACGATTATATATGTTTCTAGTATTTTCATTTATGCAGCAGGTTGGTGTTTCTTATTTTTAACCGCACAACGTGCAGTACCATACGTCATAGCTGATCGTACAACGATCCGAATTGTCTTTCCAGTTTCGTTAAATGATTCTGTAACTTCATTCAACCCACTTTTACTATACTGTACCCATATCCATCCGTTTCACCATATTTTCCATACAAAAAATGGAATTTATAATATTTTATATAATTTGAAACTTACTTTTCTTTAGACGGGTATATTTTCCCTGTAGTTGTCGTATTTCACAAAATGTATTGCTGTATTTGACTATTTGTCAAATTACTAATTCCTTATTATTAATTTTTCATTTTTGTTATAGATTCAACTAGCATCTCATCCAGTAGTAACCAATCTAGGGTAACGACAACTCCTGGTCCGTCTTCTGTTTCGAGTTCAGGCTACCCCGCGAGTCCTTCAATCATCAACTTGGATAGTCCTTCGCCACCGCGTTCACCCCAACCGACACCTCAACCGGCAGCTCAGCAAACTGCGTCTTCCTGCATGATGACAGGACAAACCAACGGAAACACTACACCTAACCAGGTCACTGCTCCGTTTATGAGTCCAAATTCCATGCCATTCCTAGACCTTGAAACTGAGACACCTGCCGGAGCCAACATGACATACCCCCAGACTTACTAATGTTTAAGTCAATTTAAGTGAAAATGACATTCTTTATTTATTTTTATTACAAAGGTATAGACTATGTAATTAAGGGTATGTGTTTAGTTTTAAATGTAATTTTGTAATATTTTCCAAGATCTTTGCACATTGTAGATTTTTTCTCTATATTTTTTTCATATTTTTATTGGCATCTCAACATATAGTTCAAGGCAGGAAAACAGTTCTGCTGCGAATTAATGCCAAGCAATGTATAGCGATAACTTGAATAGTTTCTGTTTTATATCGGTAAAAAAATTAACTCCAGAGATGTTATAAATCTTAAGTTGTTCATACAAATTAACTGTATTGCACTGACAGTAATTCCCATTATATAGTAAAAGTTATGAAGTAAAATCAAGCAGTTGTATTTCGGTAAAAGTACTCCTCGATGGTGCAATGCAAGGTGTACATGTCAGAGCTAAAAAGATGACCTAGTTCAGTGAAGATCTTTTATTAATATTAGAAACATTGCTATATTAAGATACAAGTTACAAAGCAAAAGTCCTTGCCTAAATTAAATAATTTGCCTGTGTTTATTAAAATGTTTTTGGTCTTCAGCAGCTCAGAATGTTAAAAAGTTCATTTACAAATCAATTCTTCGTTCTTCTATAAGTTCTGCCTCTAATGGAGCTTGACAATGACTTCTGCAAATCCATCTCTGGCCAAGTTTCCATGCCATCTAGTAGGATATATATATATATATTATATATATATATATATATATATATATATATATATATATATATAATATATATATGTATATATATATATATATATATATTTATATGATATATATATATATATATATATATATATATATATATATATATATATATAATATAGGGTGGTGAATCGTCAAACGGGCCATAGTAAACTCAATGAGAAATTCTAAATTGTTGAATTCCTGCTTCCCTAATTATTTTACACCAAAAGTCATGGGAAACTATAAGTTGATTAAAAAAATGTACTCAGTTAAGGAGAAAAGAGCAATAATAAAAATGTTTTATTCATGTTTTATTATAACATTTGTTATAGTTTTATGTTTAGAAATTATCGTAGATTATTATTAGGAATAAAGATCACAGTAACAGTATATTGGAATTCATTGAATTGTTGTATAACTTAACTTAACATGGAATTAAATTTTAGTGTATTAGAATATCTTACGTTAAATAAAGATCCGGTAGTGACAAAAGAAGGTTCGCGCTATTGCCTGAATACAACATTATGCAGTTTTTCGTCAACTGAGTACATTTCATTATATTGATCGATTTGTAAACAATATAATTTATTGTTCACAAAGTAAATTGTTCAGTAGTAGTAGTATTTAGTAAAATTCATTGTTTATAATTTAATCATAAATGAAAAAAAATTGACAATTCAAATTGTCAAACATTTGACATCAATATGATAAAACACACACGTTATAACATATTCTTGTATTACGTGTGGCCTAACTTTTAGGGGTGGTCTGAAAAATCTATTATATTTTTGCAAAATATTGAAGTACATTGATTCGTAGAACGGTTTTAACATTTGTTTTTAATTTAGAATTTAGTCGTCTACAAATAGTTTTTTATGACTTTTGATCTAAAATAATTAGGGAAGCAGCAATTCAACAATTTAAAATTTCCCATTGAGTTTCCTATGGCCCGTTTGACGATTCACCACCCGGTATATATACAGTGCGTTAAGTTTTGGATTAGATATTGCAAACTACATAAAGCGCTAAAATCGGCAACATTGCTTCGTACGAGATAAATTCTTCGATCTGCTCCGACATCTAGACGAGAAAACCGAAAACCATTTAGTGGCATTTAGTAACACATAACAACACATGAGATATGCATCTCTGTCGTCGATAAACTCGATAAAAATACACTGACCTTCAAGGTCGATTCAGACACATCAGTCCCGTCACAGTCTCGGCGCCGAACCGGTGCTGTTTGGTCACAGAACTATAGAATTATCTGACAGCTTGGAAACTGTTCGTTGCCTGATGAATGTGAATGCCGGCGCCATATTTCTATTAAAGAATATTTTGTAAAGAATGTGAACGATTTTTTATGATTGAATGAAAAATAAAAGCGCATTTCTAGAGAGATCTAGCAAGATAAAACAAAAAATATACTCTTTTGAAAATAAAAAATAATTTATAATAAAATAAGAAATAATTGTTTATGCCCTACAGAAATGATTCAAATATTTGACCATCTACGGCTGAACAGTATCAAAATCTGTCATACAAACTTCTGCTTACACATGTAAGAGTTTTTGCTGTAACAGAATTGTAGACTTGTCTTATTCGGTTTCTTAATTCATCCAAATGTTGGGCTCTAGCTTCAGGATGATCGTAGATAATGCTTTTTAAATGTCTCCAAAAAAAGAAGTCCATGGGTGTAAGATCTGGAGATCGCGCAGGCCACTTAATATTGCCTGTTCCACTGATGACTCGATTAGAGAAAGTATTGTTGTAAGTACTCCCTAATTATTCGAGCGTTGTGTACTGAACAGTAGTGATGGTCGAAATGACTCATTTGAATGTTTCGAATCATTTGAATTAACTCACTGTGATGTTTCGATACAATGATTTGAAACATTGAAACAATTGACACATTCTACCCGATATTGTAATTTCATATATCATATTAACTCATTTTGGGTTACTATGCAAAGATATATTTCGTGCAGACTGCCGATTCATTTTCTGTAAGCCACGTAACAGCAATGTGATTGTTAAAGCATTGTGAAGATTTCTGAACGATTTGGGATTTGAGCTTGTTAAGCACAAGTTATTGTTTTAGGTCTTTATTTTTAACAATACTATGAATTGACTGTTCGCAAGAAATTGATCTCCCCTCAAAAAATACAGAAAATAAATCTACACACTGTTGTGTAGAATTACCACCATAAAACCATTTTATAATAAACAGACATGTTTACAAAAATAAATTAAAAATCTACGCTCTTATTGCTTTAAACAACTACTGTGTAATGTAACGGATATTATTTACGGAGTTACGGATATTGCCAATATAATAGTAATGGTACTTAATATTGTTCTGAAGCTATTTTCTTGTGGCATTTTAAAGTAATTACTATTTAAATGGGAATAATCCACAATTAAAGGTTAAAGTATGTTTATTGACGTTTCAATTTCCACTTCGGAAATCGTTCTCAAAATACAAACATTAGTAATGGTACTTCATTCTGCAACAATTATTTGTGTCCAAACAATTAAAAAATTATAGTTTTTAAGAACATCAAAATTTGAAACCTTATCAAAAAAAACATTCTAAGATTGACAAAGTGTCTGTACAGCCATTTGAAAATGACCTTTGTTCTCTCAAATTAGATAAACAAATATAATTGTTAAAAAATACTTTACCGATTGTGCCCATCTTTCGCAAATATAGTAACTAAGGTGAACCCGGCGAAGTGTGAACTAGCTTTCAGTTAGATGATTTTTATTACATATATTGCATGATTCAGGAGATGTTTTAAGTCATGATATTTTTTTCCTAAAATGCTTACGGACTTTACTACATTAATTTTTTGTTAATTTTTTTAAGTATCCATGGTTCACACTTTCCCGTCAATTTGGGGTATGACAATGGATTTTAGCTTAAAACAGCATGTGCTATTTTTGGGACAAGTGTAAATAATTTAAAAGTGCAAGAAAAAACGAATTTTTTAGTGTTTGAAAAATTTTAATTTATTTATTTTTAAGCATGTTACAAACTTTTTAAGATTTTAAGTTTCAACCCGACAAAATTTACGTCAAAAAGAAAATGATCCCTTCTGTCTTTAACGGGTTTCTGGTAAAGTTTTTACGATATCGTCTTCAACTATCATATCCGTGCCTTCTATTATCAGGCCGAAAAAAGGTGTTACTACTCTTTTTATATCTTAAAAAGCAAATGTACCATTCATTTTCAATCTCAAGTCTTTCCCAACTCTGAAACTGTTGGCACTTCTTTCTCAATTATTTGTGGTTGTTTTCTTCAAATGTTTCAGGATCTAATACATCTTTAGAGTCAACATATTCTACCAAATCTTCTTCCGATTCTGAGCTACTAAAAGTTTCTTCTCGTTTCTTTTGTTATGTTTTTTTATTTCTTTTCTTCAATCTATTTACTTGCAAGTTTATTCTATTCAGAACTCCTTCGGAAGCAACAACTTCTACCCTGCAGCTACTTTTTTCTTTTTGAGCCCGAAGGACTTTGCTTATTTGTCTGTTTAACAGTGCTTAATAGCAGCTCCTCAAAACTTATTTTTGAAGAACTACTACTTGGAGTTGCATCAGAAATATTGGTTGTATGGTTTGCCAAATCTGGTCTTTATTTACTGACTGATCAATATTGCCGGTGGTAATAGCATCCATATTAGTATTTACTGTTTCAGGTACAACTATTGTTTGGTCTTCTAAACTCTTGTTCTTTCCATCTTTTTAGGCTTCAGGGTGGTATTTTTCCTTTGGTATGACATGACGGTTAAATGGATATATACCAGCTTTTCTACACCCGTTTTTGATAATTTCTACGCTTACGTTTTTCCATGTAGTGCCTATCGTCAGAGAAATCTCTTTTTTTTTTAATTGTAAGGCCAGTATTATGTCTCTGTCAAGTTACGAGTTGTTGGTCCCAAGCGTCTTTTAGATACTTGAATACGGCTAAATCCAAAGGCTGTAGAAGGTGGGCTGGTATGAGGAAGAAATTTGATGTTTGTGATATCATTATGTCGTGCTATTCAACTAGTTCAATACTAATATTGGTACTATGACCGTCATATATCAACAGTACCGGCCTATTTTCTCCTAATGCGGGAATAAATGATTTTTTAAAAATAATTAAACAATATGTCATTCTCCATCCATCCATTGGGACTGGCTGCATAAGCAGTTCCCGGAAATGAGTTCTTGTTATCTGGTAACCAGGAATCCCAAATATTTTTTCCCTTGAATACGATTAGTAATGGTG